TACAGCTCAGTGACTTTGATTGTTCCTTCTGTACCCCCATCCCCCCAGCAGTAAGCCCTATGGTACGTTGGTGTGCCCAGAGAAGGGGGCAGTGGGGTGCACGAGACACCAGCCCTTAGTCTGAGGGCCCCCCTTGCAGTTTTTTATGCTGGTGGGCCTAGAGCGGGTGCGAGCCCAGGTGGTGTCCCTCTGTCTGTCTGTCAGGAGGCCTGGTTTCTCAGGTGGAGGCCTCCTGCTCACTGACCAGGTGTTGCCTCACGGGGGCACAAGGTACCAACTCTGTCACTCACTGTCTGGCTGGGTCACACACTGCTCTCTTAGGGACAGGCCCATGCTCTGGGCTCATGTCCGATGGGCCAGTCCAGGTGTGGGTCCAGTGCCCTAGGGTTGAGGGGCCACCTGTGGGCCTGGTAAACCCCGCCCTGGGCTGCAGAGCCGCTGCATTTAACAGTGGTGGCTCCGTGGTAGAGCCCCACGATGTGTGGGAGACGTAGGTTCCGTTCCCAGCCCGTACACCTCACCCACAGCCTGTGGAGGCCTGTTTGTGGTGGAGACAGACTGGGAAGATGGGCCTGCAGATCTCCTGGACATGGACAGTGGAGGCCCGATGGCGCTGTGCGCAGGATGGCCGCCGGTCAGCGACTGACTCCCTGTTGGCAACACCCTGAGAACAGACACCAAGTGGACTGACCACACGGTGGGGTCTCTTCTGGCCATAAAGAGAAACGAGGCTTGATGCCTGCACCTCGTGAGTGAAAGAAGCCCATCACGGGAGGACAGAGGACAGGTGCTGTGTGGTCACATTGATGGGAAGTGTCCAGAGCAGACAGCTTCCCGGAAACAGCAGGTGATGGCTGCCCAGGCGAGGGAAGAGCGTGTGTGGGGAGCGGCTGCTAATAGGCACGGGGTAGCTTCTTGGGGTGAGGAAACTGTTAGGGAATTAGATAGAGGTGGAAGTTTGAATCCACTTAGCAGTGCTGCGGAAGAAATGCTGGGAACCTGCTGAAAAAATCAGGTCCTTTCATCTGTCGATGGGCTTCTGACTCGACGTTTGTGTGTGTTGTGAACACTGCTGTCCAGGGGGACCCTAACAAAATGTCACAAGTTGGGGGTTTTACAGAACAGAAATGTATGGCCTCCCAGTTCCCGGGGCTCCCGGTGACCTTCGATAATCC